TGTTCTCAGTGAACAGAGCCACATCGCCCGGGACGGATGGACACCGTGATCGCGGGGACGACGGCGGCGGGGACAGCAACGGCGACAAGAGGAAAGGGGGCGCACCCTCACTTGCATCATACAAGCGATCGGGAGTCTTTACAGATGTCGGACCGCTTGTATGTAAACGGCCATCGCTGGCCGTTTAAAATCCTAGCGGGCTCCCGCTCATGCGCGCCAGGGGGCGCGAGCGGGCACGGGCACGAAGGACGTCTAAAGACGCCCACCCGCATCCAGGAGACTCCCGTCCAGCCGTCTTTCAACGTCTTTCAACGATCGGCGGCCGGGAAGTGGTTAAAGTGATATTTAAGTCAAAATGTTTTTAAGATACAATATTTAATGTGCTGATGAAGTCACTTACAATGGATGCTGCTGCTTGATGTTTAAAAGTTTTAGTTTCCTGCAGAATCAGCTGGTCCCCTGAGCACTGGTCCTGATATCCTGTTTTAGGTTGACTCCTTTCCCTTGCAGGATCCTATGGAGCCACCCTTGTATGTGCTAGTAAGCTGTGTGTTTCTCCACAAACACACAGGAACAGAGGAGAGTGTTCGCAGGGCTGTGTGTCTCCTGTTAGTGCTATGTCTGTCGCACCCAGACATGGGGATGGCAGAGGGTATTACCCGGGTGGACAGGTGCTCAGATGCCAGGCAAGAGGAGGACAGGGGAGCTGTATAACCACCCAGATCACTTGTACTAGTCCACTATTGTGCTGACCCCCACTTCCAGGGGCGGACTGGGCCGTGGGGCAGGGTGGCAATTGCCCCCCGGGCCTCTGTGCTGCCTTTAAAAATGGCCGCTGCCCGCGGCCGTCAGGGGGCCTGTCACTGGCCCCGCTAAAAGGATTTCACGGCCGCCGCTGCAGTGGCTCACGGCGGCCGATCGCTCCTCTAGGCTGACCTCTGGAGGCCCCCGCGGGCTGCCCTCTACAGTGCCTGATTAGATCCAGCCAGCGCGGATCGCATCGGTATGCGATCCGTGCTGGCTGGATCAGGCACTGTAGAGGGCAGCCCGCGGGGGCCTCCAGAGGTCAGCCTAGAGGAGCGAGCGGCCGTCGTGTACAGAGCCGCATCTGAAGCGGGCTGGCCGGCCAGGTGCATGTGGCATAGAGGCAGTGGAGGGAGGGAGCCACTGCAGCTGCGGCCACAGCAGACCCAACCAGGGAGCCCCCACTGACAAGCAAGGTAAGGCGACACATTTAAAAAAAAAAATCCGGGGATATTTTTAAATATCCCCGGGAACATAAAATAAAACTTTTTTTTTTTTAAATACTCACCTGATCGACCGCCAATTGCAGCCTCCCATCTCCCACGCTGTCAGAAGCTTGCGCGCGCTGGGTTGCCCCTGTCTGTCTGACATCTTGTGTCTGGGTTTCTGCTGCCATGAAACTCGGACACAGCGTTCAAAACCCGGACTGTCCGGGTGAATCCTGGACAGGTGGCAACCCTACCTGCAATGACAACATTGAATGCTGAGTTTACTTATTTTAATGGTTCACATATTGTTCTTTATATTTCTTCTGACATTACATGGAAAAAAGAATCCCTCATTACATTAGTGGTCGGTGTAGAATCCCCCCTTACATTAGTGGTCGGTGTAGAATCCCCCCTTTACATTGGTCCCCCCTTTACATTGGTCAGTGTAGAATCCCCCATTACATTGGTGGTCGGTGTAGAATCCCTCATTACATTAGTGGTCGGTGTAGAATCCATCCTTACATTGGTGGTCAGTGTAAAATCCCCCCTTACATTGGTGGTCAGTGTAAAATCCCCCCTTACATTGGTGGTCAGTGTAAAATCCCCCCTTACATTGGTGGTCAGTGTAAAATCCCCCCTTACATTGGTGGTCGGCGTAGAACTGCCCTTTACATTAGTGGTCAGCGTAGAATACCCCCTTACATTGGTGGTCAGCGTAGAACTGCCCTTTACATTAGTGGTCAGCGTAGAATACCCCCTTACATTGGTGGTCAGCGTAGAACTGCCCTTTACATTGGTGGTCAGTGTAGAATCCCCCTGTCACGATCTGGGATCAGGCTCAGAGTCCAGTAGCTGAAACAGCAGGCAAATTTGTGGAATAACAGGCCGGGTTTGGTACACAAGCAGACGGTAGTAGTATGAGAGCAGGCAGAAGCGTAGTCAGCGAACAAGCCGAGGTCAGTAGCCAAAGATATCAGGTATGAAGCGGAAGATGATGAGAGTAGTAAGTGAATCAGCAGCCAAAGGTCAGTACACAGGTAGCAGTATGAGCGGATTGTATCACAGAAGGAGCAGGAAGCAAGATATTGGCAGGAGCACAATAATCTGGCAAACAGAAAGTGCAGAGGCATGGCTTAAAGAGGAAGTTCAGTGGTCAGTGTAGAATCCCCCCTTATATTGGTGGTCAGCGTAGAATCCCCCATTACATTGGTGGTCAGCATAGAACCCCCCTTATATTGATGGTCAGTTTAGGACCCCCCTTACATTGGTGGTCAGCGTAGAACCCCCCTTATATTGATGGTCAGTTTAGGACCCCCCTTACATTGGTGGTCAGCGTAGAACCCCCCTTATATTGATGGTCAGTTTAGGACCCCCCTTACATTGGTGGTCAGCGTAGAACCCCCCTTACATTGGTGGTCAGTGTAGAATGATGGTGTGAGCCCAGCCTAACTCATAACTGATGAGCATGTTGTCACAACAGCAATCTGGGGATTTTCCAGAATACAGCGTATAAATAGAGTATGCAGTTCCTCCTACAGCACCCGGCTGTGACAATGATCAGACACATCTTCCTCCTTCTCTCTCTTTGCTCTCCAGCACATGGTGAGTATTGTACTATATACACAAACTGTACCGTCTTTATATTACCAGTTCAGTGCTGTTCACTGTCAATGCAGCAACAGTCAGGCAGTTGCCCACTGACCCTTAAAGGGAACCTGTCATAGTCAAGGAAGCAGCCTGCCATTGCTTATACCTCCTGCAATTGCTGGACGCCCAGTTGTCACTGACTTTCTTGCTACTTGAAGTTGTCAGTGACATCTGATTTTTTTCCCTGATGCACCTGCTTGTTCCAGGTCAGTGACTACGTAAAGTACTGAAGACAGAGACAACGGAGGCGACTAGAATGTTTTAGGGGGTCAGGCAATGATCAGTGCCTTATTTTGCTCAGGCTTACTTTATCATCATTGGATTTGAGAAATGGATTTGCTTTTGATTTTTGTGTTCTTTGTATGGAAGATGCAGAGCCAGGTCCTGATCTAAAGGTGTTGTGAATGAGGCGGCGGGATGTTGAGGGGTTGACGTTGAATTAATTCATTGTCTGTCTTCAATAAAATTTAGCTCTGTGCAAAATGTGCACAATCTCAGAGCGGGTTTAAAGAAGAACGCCAGGGGGAAAAAAACTTTATTAACCCTTGCAGTGGGGCTACCTTCACACTGCCAGGGTTAAGTGCACATTTTTGTCTAGGTGCAGAAAACAAAAAATAGTTATACTCACTAGGCCATCCAAGCGGGTTTGTTCTTACACGCTGTCTGTCTCGGGCATCTCTCCCTCCTCTCAGCGGTCTAAAGGTGCCCATACACTGCACGATTCTTGTACGAGAATCACGGGAAATCCAGCGATCGTACGAGAATCGTGCAGTGTGAATGAAGACGTGCGACCGTTTCTACTGTACTCTACGTCTTTTGTCTAAGGCGCATGCTAGAAAACCAGCCGAGAATCGTACAATTTTCGGCTGCTTTTTAGCATGATCGTAAGATCAATGCCGCACGGGCCGGTGTGAGCACACGCACGCTGCCCGTTCAGCATTGCGGTCATCGGAAGCCCACCCATCAGGGGGGCGGGCTTGCGATGATTGCAAGTACGATCTGCCTGTCCAAGATGGGCAGATCGTAAGTTTTTTTAAATTACTTTACAACTATTGCAAGACTAAGGTCTTGTGATGGTTGTAAAGTGTATGGCCACCTTAAGGATCCTGGTGTCATCCAGTTCTATACACTGTGCATAGAATGTGTATAGACGTGAGGACACCGAGGAGCAGTCCATCTGTGCTGTGAGGAGGAGGAGACACGCTTCAGTGATCACATAAGCAGGGAGCTGGCTCGGATGGACTGGTGAGTATAACTTTTCTTTTTTTTTTTTTAGCACCTTGACCTAAACGAGCACTTAACCCTTGCAGGTAGCCCCACTGCAAAGGTTGATAATTTTTTTTGAACTGGAGTTCTTCTTTAAGGCCCCATTCACACTGGGAAAAAAAAAGTAGAACCTGCTCTACTTTCTTCAGCACAGCACAACACAACGCGTCAAAAGCGGATGTAAACGGAAAACAGAACGCAGGTAAAAAAAAAAAGAATGCATAGAAGTTTGTCTATTCAGGACATATCAATTAAAATAAAGAATGGCAAAAAAGAAAAAACATGACAAAAAAAAGGGAACGCAAGGGAAGTCAACGGACCTCCGCTGACTTCCATTTTCGCCCCGATTCTGCTGTGAATGGGCCCTTAAGCTGAACAACAGCCTTTTAATGATAAAAAAGTACAACTATATATTTTTTTTAAAAATACACTGTTGCTGGATATCGTAACATGTTAGAGATTTATATTTGAAGGCTTTAAAAGCTATTAAGAGGTCTACTTTAAGGGTTCATTCGAATGGGTGTGCACGTCCATACAACGTGCACAGCTGTAAAATGACCCAATCCCGGGAGGGACAGGTGCTGTGTGTAATTGCTCGTAGCAGCTCGTTCTTTCCTATGGGAGGACATGGTTACATCTGGTCACACACACACTCGAAGCTGCACATCTGCATGGCCGGGTGCAGGTGCCTGCAATTGATGATTTAGGTCCATCATTTGGAAGGAAAGTCATGCTCTCTGGTGCGCAATGCCTGACTTGAATGTCTTTGAGTAGATTGTCTAACATGTAATCCATCCACATGATGATGACTCCATTGACTTTTGCTTTATTTGTCTTGCTACTAAAGGCTCAGTCATGGTAATCAGCGAGGAAAAGCAAGCAGCAACAGTCGGTGGCAATGTAACCCTCCAGTGCCGGCTGCAGGCCAGCCAACCAAACATCTTCCAAATCACATGGCAGAAGGAGACGGGCAACTTCACCGGGCCAATAGCTACCTCCAGCAAAATGTTTGGAAATAAGATACTGGGACCCTTCTCTAATCGGACTGCACAATACACAGTAGACACACTCAATGTGTCCGCCATTACCATTAGCTCAGTGACCTTGGAAGATCAGGGGTGTTTTAAATGCATCTTTAATATTTATCCGATTGGTGCAAATTCTGGAACAATCTGCCTGGACGTCTATGGTAAGAACTGCAATTTGTGAAAGCTCTGTGCCATCTGCATTTTATAACATTATATGATATTATAACAAATATGATCTTAACTATATAGCTAAATGTTTGTGGACACCGAACCATCACCATCATTGAGCTAGTTGGACATTCCATTCCAAAATCAAATGATTATGTTGAGGTGTTTCTGGTATAGGGTTACAGGTGAAACTCGAATAATTAGAATATCGTGCAAAAGTAATTGCAGTAAGTGTTGCAAAAGGGGCCCAAACCAAGTACTGAGTACATATGCATGCTTGTACTTTTCAGAGGTCCGATATTGTTCTATGTACAATCCTTGTTTTATTGATTGCATGTAATAATCTACTTTTTTGAGGTTGTGGATTTGGGGTTCTTGGGGTTTTCATGAGCTGTAAGCCATAATCATCACAATTATGACAAATCACGGCTTGAACTATCTCGCTTTGCATGTAATGAGTCTATCTCATATATTAGTTTCACCTTTTAAGTTGCATTAGTGAAATAAATGAACTTTGCACGATATTCTAATTATTCGAGTTTCACCTGTATATTAATAATACAGGATACAACACACATCTTAGGCGATTGTGCGCTTCCAAACTTCTGACAACATTTTGGGGAAATCCCTTTTCTTTTCTATCCCAACTGTTCCCCGGTGCACAAAGGCAGCTTCATAAAGACACTGTTTAATTAGTTCTTCAGGTCTTCAGGTTCTTCAGGTCTTCTCATCCAACATGGTTTGGCCAGTTTGGTGTGGAGGAACCTGAGTGGCCTGCACAGAGCACTGACCTCAATCCTACTGAACTCTTTTGGGCTGAATTGGAACACGGATTGTGAGCCAGGTCTTCTCATCCAACATGGTTTGACCAGTTTGATGTGGAAGAACCTGGGTGGCCTGACCTCAATCCTAGTTAACGCCTTTGGGGTTAATTGGAACACGGATTGTGAGCCAGGTCTTCTCATCCAACATGGTTTGACCAGTTTGATATGGAGGAATCTAAGTGGTCTACACAGAGCCCTGACCTGAACATGCTTGGAATGAATTTGAACACCAAATGTGAGCCAGATTCTCTCATCCAACATCAGTACCAGATCTCTTTTGGCTGAATACACACAAATTCCTACAGACACCCTCCAAAATCTTGTGGAAAACCTTCAGAGAAGAGAAGAGAAGAGAGGATCTAACTTCAAATGAATGTCCATAGTTCTGAAATGGGATTTGAAACAAGCTCAAATAGGTGTGATGGTCAGGTGTCCACAAACTTTTGGCCATAAAGTATATTCCCTTTAAGTGCACAACCTCGAGTAAGGTTTAAAGGGTACTTGTTCATCCATGTATCCACCCCTGTACCCCGCTTTGTCCAACTAGGGATGTTCAGATACCATTGCCAATACTTGGCATTTTCATGAAAACTATCAAGGTGGCAGAGGTTGCAGCTAGGACCTGGCCCTCACGCTCCACCACTGTCCTGAAATCATTAGTCGATATTATTTTAGAAAAACTGTCACATGACAATAAACAAAAATGTATCAGTACTTGTATCTGTGAGAACCTGGACAGGTATCAGTACTTGTACTTGGAAAAATGGTATCGGTGCATTACTTATATATATTTATAAAAAAACAAATCATACATTAAAACAGAGATGTACAAATCCCAGGAGCTCCGTGTGCTCCTTACAAATGACAGCTGCCTTCTAACTTTTGAATTTTTCTCTAGTCTAGTCCTGGAGCTGGAAAAGTATCTGTACTTGTACTTGTACTGAGTACGGAACTTGGTATCTGAACATCCCTATCTCCAGCCATTGAAGCAGATTTGAATATAAGTCCATATCTTGGACTTGGATCATAAAACAGTTCAGGCTTTGTCCAGGGTTCAGGTTTAACCCTCTGGTGCTCTAGGCCTGGCGTGATATCCCCCATATGTATTGAGAAATACAGGTGAAACTCGAATAATTAGAATATCGTGCAAAAGTAATTGCAGTAAGTGCTACAAAAGGGGCCCAAACCAAGTACTGAGTACATATGCATGCTTGTACTTTTCAGAGGTCCGATATTGTTCTATGTACAATCCTTGTTTTATTGATTGCATGTAATAATCTACTTTTTGAGGTTGTGGATTTGGGGTTCTTGGGGTTTTCATGAGCTGTAAGCCATAATCATCACAATTATGACAAATCACGGCTTGAATTATCTTGCTTTGCATGTAATGAGTCTATCTCATATATTAGTTTCACCTTTTAAGTTGCATTAGTGAAATAAATGAACTTTGCACGATATTCAAATTATTCGAGTTTCACCTGTACATATAGCTGATATTTAGTCATACCTTGTTTTTTTTTTTTGGTTTCTATTGGGAGGGGGGTTCACATTTTGTTTCTGGTTTGTCATACTGCAAATTGTTCTTAGAACGTAAGGGGAAGTTTATGTTTCCCATTTCACATGTAAGCAAGGTTAAACCCAAGTGCAGAGTTTTTTGGGATTTTCCTGATTACTTATTGTAAAATTTCATAAACAATCATACATATTCACAGGGATTTCCTGTGACCGCCTTGTAATGCAAGTCATCTCCAATCAGTATGGTTTTGATGTTGTCACTTGTGCATTGTTGTCTGCGGGAGCAACAGACACTAAGCAGAATGGACTTGGCAATGCAATTGTAAGGAATGACCAATGGAATTTTAGGGGAATACTTTTCGCTAAGCAGCTGCATCATACCAAATATATGATAACCCTGAACAAATGAATATTTTACACCATTGGGGGTCATAGTAAGTCACTCAGCCACAGCATACTATGTCAGGTAAAACATCACTCATTGGCAGAATATAATTTGCCAATTCCCCCTCCCCCCCCCCAATGGAGCAAATATTCGATTAAAGCTGTGGTTTTCAATCTGTGTAACCTCAGGGCCCACATTTGTCTTTGGTCATTAGGTTGCAACCCAAGTTGCACTGAAATGGAATTGCAGTACCGGGCATTCGGGTGCAGGCGATCGCACTGTTGGTTGGAGGTGCATTTGGGAAGTCATTCAAATTAATGGCAAACCAACACACCTTCCACACCAAAACGCGCAGTAGGTGCGATTGCGTGGCACAGTGCTACATGCACTGTACTAGTGTGAACGGACCCTCAAAAACACTGTCAGACACACACACACACACACTCACCGACATTCTCACACACCCACCGACATTCTCAGCCATGTGTGCATTGCTTGTACAGCTCCCTTGCACGCCCTGTAGAGGTTCCGGGAGCCAGAATGTGACATCAGTCCAGACCAGGCACCTCTGCAGGGCACATGTGGGAGCTGTAAGCAATGGATGTATGGATGGAGCTCCCTTGTGGCCATACTTCTAGCCCACCCCACCTCAAGCTGACACGCAGGGCCGGGCAGCATATTGTGAATAGCTGCTTATGAAGAGTCTCTCACCTAGAAAAGTGGAAAGCATGGGGTCACGACCCACTTTTGGGTCACGATTCACCAGTTGAGAACCAAAGCATTAAAACATGTGTCCATACCTCCCAACCTTCCAAGATGTGAAAGAAGGTCACCTTTTAGCACAGACTTGTTAGGCAAGGGACACACCTCTGATCATGTGGACCATTTTAAGCTGAAGTTTACTAAGAGCCAAGTTATTTTTAGCTTTGGATAGAGTGCTAAAATCCTGGTTTTATTGATGCCTGTGTCCACTCTGGAGATCTTTACCCTCCCTTTTCGTCCTGGTGACCACTCTCTCCAGTAAAGTAATTAAAGAGAAATTCAAAGAATTACAAAACTAACCCTTGCAGTGGGGCTACCCTGCACTGTAAGGGTTAATTGCTCATTTTTCTCTAGAGGATGGAATGAAGCAGACAAACTCACTCGATCCCCTTCTTTTACGGGCTCCGGTGGTCTAAGGGCCAATGGCATTATCACTTCTTATGAAGGTCCATTGGCTTGCATTAAACACGATGATGTCGAAGATCATTCTACAGCTGAGGCAGGGGGGAGAGAGGGGAGTGCTGACCACCACGTCTTATGCAGGTCAATGAACCTGCATAAAAAGTGATGACATCAGCAGTCCTTAGGAGCGCTGGAACCCAGGAGAGAAGCGGCTGTGGGGACCGGTCTAGCAGCACGTGGGACAGACGTTCAGGTGAGTATACCTGCTTCATTTGTGCTCCCAGACCTTGCAGTGCAGGGAAAGCCCCTTTGCAAGGGGATGTTTTGTAAATGCCTTTATTTAGGTGGAGAATTGTTACAGGAAAAGGAAGGGAAATATAACAGTGGTGACAACAGTCCATGAGGGGATTAACAGTCTCTTTGGGAATCTCAGCTGCGTTTCGTGGAAAGCGTTGCTTAGTTGGGAATTTCACTGATGCGTATGCTGTGCTCTCCGATTTCAGTTTCAGTTTCACTGATACGTGGAAATCCCTGAAAGGGAATCCCCCGCCTCCCCCCCCCTCCCCCAAAAAAAGAGGAAGGAGTTAAAATAAAAGCAATTTCAAATTCATATACTGTAATTGTTTTAGTATCACAATGACTACAGATGGGGTAGAAGCTAAAGTTGCCCATACTTGATGAACCGATTGAAATTTGCTCAGTGGGTGGTCCTGCTTGCCGATATTCTTTAACCACTTGCTGTCCGGAGCATTTTCTTACTATTTGCACACACAAGATACAATATAAATTTCTGGCTAGAAAACAGCTTCAGACCCCCAAACAATGATATATGTTCTGAAAGCAGAGGCCCTGTAGAATAAAAAAATGCTAGTTGTAATTTTTTATGTCGCACGGTATTTGCGCAAATGTTTATCAAACCAGTAATTTTAGGATAAAATAAACTAAATTAAAATTCAGCGCTCAGAAACAGAATATAATACCCATTTTTTTGGTAAAATATAAAAGACGAGGTCACGTCGGGTAAATAGATACCAAACATTGAATTTAACACTTAAAATTGTGTTCGCCCGTGAAGCTGCAAAAAACTTCAATACCCAAAATGTCCCATAGAGAACACTTTAAACGCTTTTACCGCTCATCAGTTTAGTACTAACAGTGATTAATGGCAATAGAATGATTGCTCTCACTCCGACGTTCGCGGCGATATGTAACGTGTGTAACGCAATTGTCGTTTTGGCACGTAAGCGCACCGACGCGCGTTTGCGTGTGTATGTGCGTGCACATGGGGGGCGGGAGGCCTTAAAAAAATGTTTAGTGGTAGTACTAATAGCAGATAGGGTGTGAGAGATCCTCTTTATGGAGATATCAGGAGTCTTTCAGACCCCTAATGTCACTTAGGGACCCCAAAGAAGGTGAGGAAGCAGAGATCTGTTTCCCCAGCTTCATCTCTTGGCTCTATGAGCCGGAGACTGCGTACAGTGAACATTAACAGCCATTGGCGGCTGTTAAAAATGACGCTAAGAACACGGTTGCTGCAGCCGCCTTGTTCTTGTTTTAACCACTTCTGCGGGCCGCCGTCTATAGACGTATTGCGGCCCGGAAGTGCTTAGTGGAAAATTATAGGCCAAACAGAGTCTTCATCCAGTCAGATGCTGGCTCTGTTCAGGTATTTTGACAGCCAGCAGGACCGAGTGACAAAATACAGGAGCTGCAGCGGGAGATTGCACCATCCATGATAAACAGGAATCATTTTCTTTCCATTTAGCACCCAGGCTGAATGATACAAATCTGTAGGTGTATGTGAATCGGTCTACATTGGAGCTGTGGGTGGCCCTGCCGACACCACCTGCTTCCACAAAAGCCCTTTTTTTTTTTTTTAAACCAGGTAGAAAATGATCAGCTGGACAGTGTCTGTATCTAGACAGATGTAGTCACTGCCAGGCATGGGAGCAGCGGTTACTAAATACAATAGCCAGCAGTGGGATATCCTCTATCCACGCAGGTTTGCATTGATGAGACATTTTAATGATTTCTCGCGTTCAGCCCAGCCAGACATGGACACAAAAAAATCATTCTTCTAAAAAATCACAATCTAAATCATTCTTGCCTAACTACACCAAAGCTAAAAATATATTTTTTTAAACATGTTTTCCTGTAGATCCTAGCCCCAGGCCATACTTAGGTGCTTATTCCCAGATCAGGATTATATCTCTCCTTCCAGTGATAAGTCTCACCCGTTGTCATTTAATGGCCCAATGGCAGAGCCTCAACAGTTGACTGAAGCAGTGGCATTTGACAGTCACATGACAAGGGGTGGGGCTTAGTGGCAGGAGGGTGTGGCTTCATTTTAATTTGGGCAACATTCAAGGCTCCATATATAGCCCCGGCCTAGGATCCGAGGGGGCTCCACAGTACAGAGGGATCCATCTACAAACGAACACAGGCACTACAACAGTTGTGCAACTATATCCATAGCAGCCCATACGGCTGCTATGGAGCCTGGGGGTTGAAGGGGGACCCCATAAGGCAGGTTGTTGTGGCAAAATAAACATAGAACATCTGTGTGCGTGTGAAGATACTACAGCACTGCTGGAGTGGTTGCAGTTGACAATACTAATTCCCATCGCTTCTCGGCTTTTTGGCTAAGATCAAGTGTAGTATCTGTTCTTATCAGTTGTTGGAGGGGAGAGGATGTTGCCACCCGATGGGAGAACATCCTAGTACCCTCTGACGTAATGGTGGGTGTTGGAGGACGGTTTGGTCCACTGCTAGTTGCGTCAGGCCCTGATGATCGGGTAGACCCTAGACAGTGGGAGGACCCCCGACGGCACTACCTCCTGATGTGAGTGGAGAACCACAGGGTCTGGCCCGAGGGTTCGGGGGCTGCAGAAGCCCGTGGTGTTGTGCCCCCTGGGGGTGGCGTCCCAGGGGTGCTCAGAAAGACACTTGGGTATGGGACCCCACATGACTCACTGCAGCACTTGGTCACACACCACATTGCAATTTTGTGCACTTCGCCTCTTGGACAGGCCTTATGGCTAGTCTGGGGCAATATTTTTGCACTCCGGCCCCTAAGGCCTGTCAGCGTGGTGCACTGGCACTTTAGCTTTATTTATGCACTATATCCACGATTGGCACTTTTTTATTTTACTATTTGACCCACAGATGCTGAAGGTGCAGGTTTCTTCGGGGCCGGTTCCTGACGCTGGGAGGAGATTCTGTGCCTCCTACGGGGTTCTCTGTCTCCTCCCACCCAGGAGGGGGGTCTCTCTTCGGGAGATCCCCCCTGCCTAGTACTGTGAGGGACCTGTTTCGGCAGGTCCCCGAAGGAAATGGTCCACCGGCCTTCAGGTTGGTGGGCCAACAGTCTCAACCCCTGCCAGGAGCCTTGCGCCCCGGGGGGTCGGGAAATTAGGTCCCTTCTTTCGAAGGACCAAGCACCCTTCTGCACGTTTCTGTGTGCTGTGATTTCACGGTTGCACTTTTTTTGTTCACAGGGGGAAGTTTTGATGCACGTCCACGGGCTTTAAAAAAAAATAAAAAAATCCCTGTAAACAGTGGTGTAACATAGCGGCCCATGTGGCTGTTATAGGGGCCAGTGGTTTGTAGGGGGCCCAAATAGGGATTGCAGAAGTTGCTGCTGACACTGACATTATTAATCAAGAAGAGCTGACATCAGATATACAGGGGTGGGAGAGACTATGCAGGCAGCTCTCCTGCTACCCGACTTTAATATTAATGACAGTAGGGAGGCTGCTGGGGGACCCCATCAAAATTTTGCTATGTGGCCCCATGATCTGTGGTTACATCCCAGCCTGTAAAGTGTACAATGTAGAAGAGTCGGATGTGTAAGAGGGTTCTTGGTGTCCCTAGAGAAGTGCCACAGAGAAAGAGAGAAGTCACTGGGGGGTAGGGTTGCCACCTTTTCTATCAGCGAAACCCGAATACTCTAGCGGCGCACAGAAATGTTTTGGGGAGAATGAGTCACTGCTTATTCATATATAAATAGCGCCACCTATTCATAAGTAAATATCACAGTCAAGACTATTTTCAGGTGTGTGTGTGGGGGGAAGCCCCTATCTTAATTTTGGTTGCCCCTGTCTGCCTGACATCATGTGTCCGGGTCTCATCTGCCATGAAACCCGAACACATCATTTAAAACCCGGACTGCCCGGGTGAATCCCGGACAGGTGGCAACCCTACTGGGGGGCCCTGTGATGTACCGGAGCGTCAGCCCTTGTGTTACCTTTGAAGTGTTTTAATCCAGGTTGAGGCAACTGTAAGTCAAGTGTCTGACCTCATCACCGGTGCTGTGTGCCGGCTTAACCAGCTCACTTGTTGACTTCAAGAATTCTGGATAAAAGTGCTCATACACCTTGCGTTTATTGGACGAAACTTTTCGTCCGATGATCGAACTGTCGTACGATTTTCGTACGGCGGCCCCCCATTATCGCAAGGTTGGATCAGCGGTAATTAGAAGAAAGCACCTGGACGAATTGCAGTAATCCACCGCACGTATTTTCGTCTGCGCATGTGCAGTGTAAATCGTATGAATTTTTTTTTTTTGTAAATTCTTTTTATTGGAAATCGTATGAATTTTGACATACAGAAACGCCACCAACCTTGCGAAAATCGTATGATTGGCCGAAGTTTTCTAACCCGCTGGTTAGTCAAAAGTCGATTGATTGTACAGTATTTGCGGTTGTACACTGCCCATCAACCTTACGGATATCGGACGAAAACGCGATCGCATACGAAAATCGGCCGATATTCGTAAGGTGTATGGGCAGCTTAAGGTTGAGCCCATGTTGTTTTTTTGTAATGAAATAATAATGAAGTAGAATGTAGATGTGGTTCTTATAGGTTGTTGTTTCTTTTACGTCTAGAAAGAAACATATCAGAACCAACTCCGGAAGTTCGTCAGACCGATTCTCATTTTCTAGATGATACAAGTAAGTGGTCACATGGACTATATCACCTTATCAATTGATTGTCCGCAGTGTGCAGTTTTGTCATTGTTCTTGTTGGAGAGAGGGAGAGAGAGAGAGAGAGAGAGAGAGAGAGAGAGAGACACTATCCATCCAGTGTACCCATTGGGGAAGGGGTTCCCCTCACTCATCTGATAATTAAATAGCCAGGATATGGAGAGAATATTGCTCACTTCCTGTTCTCTCTGACACCTATCATGAAGAAGTGATGCAAAATCTCCCAGTTGGGGACACAAAAAGGTCACCACACCAAACAAATACAATATATACTGCAGCTGACCAGTCCTTGGATATGGTGGTGATGTGTCGAAAGTGCGAACTTATCGAGTTGTGGGACCGCATGACTTCCGGTTTCCTCAGAACTACGATGTTTGCACACAAAGCATGTTGTGCGCGAGCGCCATCCACGGCATTGCCCTATACACATAGACCACAGCACAATAAAGTAATAAAATGATGTAGGATCACCGTAATCCAGCACGTTCTTTATCTCTGGTGCCCCACTCAATATGGCTGCCGCTTGAGTGGGGCACCTGAGATAAAGAACGTGCTTGATTACTGTCATCCTACATCATTTTATTACTTTATTGCTGTGGTCTATGTGTATAGGGCAATGCCGTGGATGGCGCTCGTGCAGAACATGTTTTGTGTGCAAACATCGTAGTTCTGAGAAAACCGGAAGTCATGCTGTCCCACAACTCGATAAGTTCGCACTTTCGACACATCAGTGGCTGCATTTGTTTTCTTTTTCCAGGATTTGTTTTCACCTAGTGGTTCTATGATTAGCACCCTCCATGTCCATGGATGGCTACGCTCACAGCTCCGCTGTGTCTATGGGCGGGAGCCATGATTGTCACCCAAGCTGGACAAACATGTCTGCCTTTGTTCATCTCCATTACATGGGAGATTAATAGGTTACAGAAAGAAGATAAGACTGTGTTAGGCTTCCAGTGCAGCTCACAGAAAGAGACCAAGACATTTCCTTGCAGGATCAGCAAGTGTTTTCTGTAGTTGCTGAAAATATTCTTTGCCTAAAAAATGAAAATGAATACAGCCACCACATCTAAGGACCGGTCATCTGTCAATAAAATGACATTTGTTTTTGTTCTTGGGTTTAGTTATTCTATAACAAAGAATAGAAGGATTTTCACTCATTGATCTAGGACAGGGGTAGCCAAACTCCGGCCCTCCAGCTGTGGTCGAACTACAAATCCCATCAGGCATTGCAAGATTCTCACAGCCACAGACATGACTCCCGGAGAGAGATGCATCATGGGATTTGTAGTTTCACCAAAGCTGGAGGGCCGGAGTTTGGCTACACCTGATCTAGGAGGTTGTTATCTGATCTGGTCACTAAATGGCATCTTTTTATTCAACAGCAACTGAAGATGCAGATTCTCCTCTTCCTTATATCATTGTCTCCATCGTCATTATAGTCACTCCAGTCATTGCTATATGTCTTCTTTGGAAAAGATTGGTTGACAAGAGGGCACCCGGAAAAAGAAAATTTTGTTTTGTGAGTATTCAAGGTTTTCATTTGTCATACATTTGCTGCATTGTGACAAAATGTAGGTGAAAGCGGGGTACGCAACCTGGGCACTCCAGCTTTGGTGACGCCACAAATCCCATCATGGTACAGTAGAAAGGCATCATGGCACACTCACAAACCAGCATGTAAAACAACTTGTCTCACCACTAAGGACAATGACAGAGGTTTGGATACACGTCTTCTGCAAAGGATGTGTAAGCCGCACTGCAGCGCCAAGGCACCACTTATAGTGCGGTCCTAACTCTAAACTATGAGAGTCTCCATCTTGGAGCACATGGGGCAGAAGATATCAAATTGGGTGCAAGTCCCATCATGCCTCTGCCTCTGGGAGTCGTGGCTGTCAGCGTCTTGCAATGCATCATGGGACTTGTAGTTCCATAACAGCTGGAGTGCTGAGGCTGTCTACCCCTGGCTTAGTAACAAGAGTTCCAATGTAACCATTCTAGAGAATGTGACCATTGCCACTACTGCCCATAATCTTTAAAGGAGAAGTATGGGGTCTGGGCTTTTCCCCATAGTTCTCCCAAGGGTAACGGGAGGACACAAACTAGCATCCTCCCGTCACCCTAAGCTCAGTATACCGCGAGCTACAGCTCCCTATATACTGAGCAGCCGGAACGGATCTCGACAATTCTGTCTGGATCCACCCAGCTGCGTAATTGACAGCTGGCTCTGCTTATGTAGAGGCAGAGCCAGCTGTACCCGCCCCCTCCCCCGCCAGTTCCGCCAGTCAGCGCTGGAGGATCGGAGCGGGGAGGTTGGGGGGGGGGAATCCCTGCAGGGAGCCAGGAGTGACAGTCACGGCTCTCTGCAGGGATAGATCGAGAAGTGAGCGAGCGGCGGTATGTGTTCGCTCACTTCCCGATCTACTGAGCCGACCTGTGACAGTCTCATTGTCACACGTCGGCTCAGATTATGAGGCAGAGTGAAAATCACTCGCCTCATAGTTCTCCCTTAAAGGACATTCGACCAGAAGAGAAAAGAACATTCGATTTTGTTCCATTCCATAACATCTGGTTCTTTTGTGTAGAACGAATGTATATTCATTTTGGCTGGACAAATCGCTATGTGATCATTATTTTTTAGTGGGTGTCTGCACCAAATCCAAAAAAAAGCAGCAACGACAGTCACTCTGATCGGTGTGAAAGCAGCAAAAAAAAAGGGAAAGGTGCACATGGTCATGCAGGGCAATATACAAAACAACACAAAAAGTCCCTGGTACACTTAAAGGGCTTGTTCATACTATTGCACTAAATGCACGACCTAAATGTGTTTAGCACACGCTTTCACTCAGCAATGCGCTGCACATTAGGTGCACTGGGCCACCATTCATTCTGAACGGGGCCCCAATACCACTCCTAGCAGGCATGTGTTGTGATGTGCGGCGGGAGGTGTGTTGTAGTGCTATTCACAATGAAAGGCAATGCAACGCACAAGCACACCATACATGATAGCATGCAGGAATGGTGTCCATGTATTTAGTGCATGCTATCATGTATGGTGTGCTTGTGCGTTGGAGTGCTGCGAATCGCGGTAAAAACGCGCGCCATGAAACGCGCGACAAACGCGCATATTCGATACACCTAGGTGTGGACAGAGCCTTAGTGCAATGCTATAGTCTGAATAGCCCCTGGAGCTTGGCAGTCGAGTTTTAAACCCGAGTAGTTAAACCAGTTTAATTTTTTTTCTGGCTGGATTGAAAGTTTGCCGCGGACCGTCTGTATTGTTGGGAACATAAATCTAACAATGTTTTGGTTGCTGTTTTTACATTCCTGTCCCAATAACAACTATACCCACTCATTATTTATGTGGGTATCACAGGGACAGGAAGTGAGAGGAAATTTCATGGACAGAAATAAATATCTGACAGCAAATTGAAAGGAGAACTATGGGGTTAGGGCTTTTCCCCATAGCTCTCCAAACTAGCGTCCTCCCATCACCCAAAGCTCAGTATACCGCGAGCTGTACGCCGCAGCCGGAACGGATCCCGACAATTCTGTCTGGATCCACCCAGCTGCGTGACTGACAGCTGGCTCTGCCTATCTAGAAGCAGCCAGCTGTACCCGCCCTCTCCCCCGTCCGTTCCGCCAGTCAGCGCTGGAGGATCGGACAGGGGAGGGGGGGGGATACGGAACGGATCTCGACAATTCTGTCTGGATCCACCCAGCTGCGTAATTGACAGCTGGCTCTGCTTATGTAGAGGCAGAGCCAGCTGTACCCGCCCCCTCCCCCGCCAGTTCCGCCAGTCAGCGCTGGAGGATCGGAGCGGGGAGGTTGGGGGGGGGGAATCCCTGCAGGGAGCCAGGAGTGACAGTCACGGCTCTCTGCAGGGATAGATCGAGAAGTGAGCGAGCGGCGGTATGTGTTCGCTCACTTCCCGATCTACTGAGCCGACCTGTGACAGTCTCATTGTCACACGTCGGCTCAGATTATGAGGCAGAGTGAAAATCACTCGCCTCATAGTTCTCCCTTAAAGGACATTCGACCAGAAGAGAAAAGAACATTCGATTTTGTTCCATTCCATAACATCTGGTTCTTTTGTGTAGAACGAATGTATATTCATTTTGGCTGGACAAATCGCTATGTGATCATTATTTTTTAGTGGGTGTCTGCACCAAATCCAAAAAAAAGCAGCAACGACAGTCACTCTGATCGGTGTGAAAGCAGCAAAAAAAAAGGGAAAGGTGCACATGGTCATGCAGGGCAATATACAAAACAACACAAAAAGTCCCTGGTACACTTAAAGGGCTTGTTCATACTATTGCACTAAATGCACGACCTAAATGTGTTTAGCACACGCTTTCACTCAGCAATGCGCTGCACATTAGGTGCACTGGGCCACCATTCATTCTGAACGGGGCCCCAATACCACTCCTAGCAGGCATGTGTTGTGATGTGCGGCGGGAGGTGTGTTGTAGTGCTATTCACAATGAAAGGCAATGCAACGCACAAGCACACCATACATGATAGCATGCAGGAATGGTGTCCATGTATTTAGTGCATGCTATCATGTATGGTGTGCTTGTGCGTTGGAGTGCTGCGAATCGCGGTAAAAACGCGCGCCATGAAACGCGCGACAAACGCGCATATTCGATACACCTAGGTGTGGACAGAGCCTTAGTGCAATGCTATAGTCTGAATAGCCCCTGGAGCTTGGCAGTCGAGTTTTAAACCCGAGTAGTTAAACCAGTTTAATTTTTTTTCTGGCTGGATTGAAAGTTTGCCGCGGACCGTCTGTATTGTTGGGAACATAAATCTAACAATGTTTTGGTTGCTGTTTTTACATTCCTGTCCCAATAACAACTATACCCACTCATTATTTATGTGGGTATCACAGGGACAGGAAGTGAGAGGAAATTTCATGGACAGAAATAAATATCTGACAGCAAATTGAAAGGAGAACTATGGGGTTAGGGCTTTTCCCCATAGCTCTCCAAACTAGCGTCCTCCCATCACCCAAAGCTCAGTATACCGCGAGCTGTACGCCGCAGCCGGAACGGATCCCGACAATTCTGTCTGGATCCACCCAGCTGCGTGACTGACAGCTGGCTCTGCCTATCTAGAAGCAGCCAGCTGTACCCGCCCTCTCCCCCGTCCGTTCCGCCAGTCAGCGCTGGAGGATCGGACAGGGGAGGGGGGGGGATTCCTGCAGGGAGCCGTGAGTGACGGTTATGGCTCTCAGCACTGATAGATCGAGAAGTGAGCGAGCGCCGGTATGTGCTCGCTCACTTCCCGATCTACTGAGCCGACCTGTGACAGCTTCATTGAAAATCACTCACCTCATAGTTCTCCTTTAACACTTTTCCACTGTATTCAGAGCTATGAAAAAGTGGTTATGCTGTCTGGATGGTCTGTGGAGCATGGTTAAACTATGGTGGGATGAAGGGCTGCAGCTAACGATTATTTTCATAATCGATTAGTTGCCCAATTATTATTTTTTCCCGATTAATCGATTAGTTGCATTCAAAAATCTCTCTCAACTCCCCCCCCCAATTAACTAATTCATAATGAGAATAGTTGACAACTATTCTCATACTCTATTAGCTGGTTGCAGCCAACTGGTATAGGGCAGGGGTAGGTAACCTTGGCACTCCAGCTGTGGTGAAACGACATAACCCATCACGCCTGAGTCTCTGGGAATCATACCTGTGACTGTCAGTCTTGTAATGCCTCATGGGACTTGTAGTTACACCATAACTGGAGTGCCGAGGTTGCCTAACTC